TTTATAATCTATCTAATATTTCTATAACTTTTTTTTCTTTTCAAAAAATTTGATAGTATCAGAACAGGTTTATAATCAATTTATTCCTTGCAACTGCTCCCACATCTGATGTCTTAGAGGTCCGTGTTTGATCTGCTTCAAAATTTGTGTAATGGACTTCTGAACTTGATTACTTTTCGTCATCTCAAAATATTTTTTAAGAATGGATATCCAAGAGGAAAAAACTTTGTAATGTAGTGCCATTGTGCACCTCCTGTTTTACTTTTTGATCAGACATGTATTTCGGGTTTATTAAAGCAAAACATGGAAATTGTCATTCTTTCTATTATGTTAAAGCGTATCCATTTCTTATCTGCAACTCCTCCTATATACCACTGAATAAAATGCACTGCTACTTTCCCAGAATTTTTATATTACCATAATATTACTGTGCACCTTTTATTTTACTTTTACAAGAAAAGTTGAAATGCACTAAATATCATTTACTGATACATTTGAACTTGTCTAGTTACAAATCTGTTACTCGCTGGTCTGAAAATGGCATTATGCACCTCCTATTTTACTTTTTCACTTATTTTCAGTCTCCCTGAGCAAAGCATGGACTTTGCCATTATAATGATATGCTGTACAGGCAAAATTTTCCAATTAGACGTAGAAGAGCCAGATTCATTGAAAAGTAAAATAAATTCGCATTTTTAAAAAAAAAAAAAAAAAACAAACTTCCATTCATTTCAAGGTCTCTTTTCAATATCTCTTAAACAGCATGCAAAACCGTTGAAAGCATTATGAATATTTGCACATAAAAAAATGAATTCACTTTACCAGTTGTGTGAAATTCGACTTTAGACAGTTATCCAATTACTCATATGTGTGTTAGAACAAAAACAAATTGTGTGTTCAAGGAACATTTAATCCGGAAGGTTTTTAAGAGTTTTAAGTGAATGCTATATTATTTGACATTTATTTTTATTTAACATGTGACTTTGTGGATGTTGTATTGTTTGTCGTTATAATGGTGCTTGATTTGAATAGATGTATGTGCACACCACTTAATGTTGCATTGTAATCCACTTATTGTTTGCATTTATATACATGGAATTAGGGTTTGTTTTTTTTTTTGCTGAATTGTTTATTAGATAACAGTCAACACGACTCATGATCTAATACTTATTACATAGACATAGCCAGTATATAACAAATATTATGTATATTAAAAGGATGCTTAAGTTCTTAAATGATAACATTCATGCATTCTTTAAAAGACTAGCTGATCTTCCAACAAACCTTTGGAAATTTGGTGAGCACTTATTGTGCTTCTTTAGCATTCTTTTTAGCAGAATTTTTTTCTTCAAAAATTCAATATTGAAAAAATTTGCATTGGCGTTCCACTCGATTTTCAGAAATTCTGACGACGTTTTATCAGTTAACAAGTGATCCTTCTATTCTTATCCCGACTCGATATATCCCTGTGAACATGAAATTAAAGAAACCCAGAGTCTGTGTAATTTTATTCTTATTTCATTTTTTACTTATTACAGTCGACAAGGACAAACTGTGAGAAAAGAGATAAGGCGCTACTCAATTGCCTGCTTTCCTTATTTAATTACACAGACTTGTCACGTAAGCACGCTTGTGCTTCATGAAAAACATGCCTACGTGCAAGTCTGTGTGATTCACACACCAGTTTTTCACACTTAACTTAAAAACGTTCCTTATATTTACATTTTACTTGTTTGGAAGCACCAAAAATATACTTAAATCTTGTTAAACTTTTACTAACGTCGCTGTAGCCTGATTGTGACGTCACGTTAACGTACGTTTCTCCATGTGTATTTCTAAGAGTAAGTATACACGAAAATGGTATTCAAATCAATTTCACAGTTGCTTAGTAGAAAAACTTAGCGAAAATCATATAATAGCATTGTTATATAACTATTATTGTTATTAAGGTTTCATTTATTATATGCCCAGGACACAAAAAAGATAATGTTTCTCCCTATACGATACTTACATTAATAATTCAATTCTGCTTGTAACGCTGTATTTGATTGGATAAAAAAATTACTTTATATCGTATAAAATGGGTTGCCTACGTCACAATGACTTGCGTCAAAAACGTATCAATCCGCCTGACGTTACATTCAAATTTTGTACAAACTGAAGTCATTTTGTTAGAACAATCATCTTTTTTTCTTACATCAAATGAATGAAAATTAAATTATAAGCATGGAATTTAATAGCTACCCATTTTATACGGTATAAACTGGGTTGGAACAGTTTACGCTTTTTATAAACCGCGAACCGCGAAGCGGTTTATAAAAAGCGTAAACTGTTCCAACCCAGTTTATACCGTATAAAATGGGTAGCTATTAAATTCTAGAAAATAATAATTTTCTTTCCGTCTCAATAGTGTGAGATAATTAAGGAACAGCAAGCAGCTGTTTATTCCTAAATGTTAGCCCTTTAAAAACATCGAATGAATTACGAAAGAATAATTTAAAAAGATTGAGGTTATATTTGAATTTTCATTATATGGAACTTGTACTAAGGGTTTTCATGCACAGTCACGATTTTTAACTAAACAACTTAACGTTTGCATATACACCCATTCTGATGCTTAAATCGGTTTTGCTTTACGTCGATGTGCATGTCTTTATGTCATTTCTGAAATCAAAAGATCTGACCATACATTATGCATATTTTGCATTACATAACAACTGTAAATGTAAATATTCACATTTCCAATAAATTTCCCCTATGATTCTTTATAAAATAAAATGCAGTATATTTTCTCATGAACTACATTAGGTATTATCATGGCATGAATAACGATAATACCGCTCTTGTCGTCAAAAAGCAAAAAATATAGTGCACACTGTTTTGTTTTAAAAATGACAGTTAAACAAATTCATGGCATCATCAAAAAATAATGTAAATATAAGAAATGAATTTAATTTTTTGAAGATTCATGAAATGAACTACAACCTCCAAAACATTAAGCGTTGCGCTTCATGAAATATGCCATGGAGGAGTGTAGCATCCTCATGAAACTTCAAAAATTAAATTCATTTCTTAAATACATATAGAGTATCACCAAGGAGAAAACTGCGTATAATGGAGATTATATTCATGGCGATAACGAATAGTATTCGAGCTCGAGGTTCACAAAACATCACAAAATAGGAGCGAAGCAAAACACTGACCTCCAAAACATTAGAGGTTGGATTAGGTGCCATGTTACTCTGGAATGTTCCCATCTCTTATCCGAAACTCCTAGCTACTTTACCACTGAATAATATTAAATGATACTTTAACATAATCGTTGTTACGTAGTTCAATTATACCCCCTATTTTACGTTCAATCATTTATACCCCCTATTTTACGTTTCAATCATGACAGTCAGTTGGGGTTACCTACGGCAAAACCTGGACAGTTCTGTTCTCTCTATAACATTGGATGCGTCATCTCTTTTTTTTCACAGTTTTTCCTGTACCACTGAATAAAATTTTATGACACTTTCGCAGAATCTAAAATATAGCATTTGGTGCCATTTTGCATCTTTTTGCATATTTTTTGTTCTGGTGGGACACATATTTTTGGTTTTTAAAAGCAAGTATTATTATAACTAAATTGGAGAACTATCTCTAGTTATGTTGGGAAATTCGTCAAATTCATTAATTTCTTCAGTTGGGGGCAAATAGTTAAGAATTCAATGGATTACTGTTTATTTTCTTAACTTTCATAGACTTTCGTTTAGTGTGCATCCTACGTTCATGTGCCAGTAAAGTACACTGCGGATTTTATCACTATGTGTATGATCAGATATGAATATTGCATATTTTTTTTTAGAAATGAACAATACCACTAGGGAGGTAAAAACAAATTTTACTATATATATATATATATATATATATAGAAAGCACAGAGAAATTCACTTTTACAAGGATACTCACTTCCGCCCCAGCTCGGGGTTGAACTCTCGACCTTCGGAATCTGTCTCTTAGCAGTACAGGAACAGCGCGTTAGACCGCTCGGCTATCTAGGCAAGTTAAAAACTTGTCTTCGATGCCGATGGAATTCAGAATGGAAGTGATATATATAGTGTAGGGCAGCGTTGTGATTCCATCGAAAGCAAATTGCTAGATATTAACGCGCTGTTCCTGTACTGCTAGGAGACAGATTCCGAAGGTCGAGAGTTCAAACCCGGGCTGGGGCGGAAGTGAGTATCCTTGTAAAAGTGAATTTCTCTGTGTTTTCTATATCAATATTCCTTCACTTAGGGCAGTTACATTAGTTTAAGAGTTGTTGTAATTTGTGCTTATATATATATATATATATATATATATATATATATATATATGAACATCATTTGATAAATTTCTATATTACAATGTATGCTTTTTGATATCTATAAAAAAAACTACAAAGTAAGAGAAAATGCTTATACAGTAGAAATTATAAAGTATCGGTATTTGATTGTGTTTATTAGATGCATGTATTTAGCTTTAGGGCGTTATAGTATTTATGTAGCATGTATTTAGCTTTAGGGCGTTATAGTAGATTTGATCACGTACCGACTTCATGTCATACCCAAATGAAACTCTAAAAAATGATATTTATTCATGTTACAAAGAAATATAGGCATTATTTAGACTTTGATTTTGAAATGAAACGTAACGTATCTACGACGTTATTTGACTTCACAGTCGGAACTTACCAAATTGCTCGAGCAGTTTGCTTTCCATACGCAAGAAAGTTTGATCATATGATCAACTGCATGTCATTGAAAATTGAATTTCAATTTTATTAGCATTGTTATATAAGAAAAGACATTAGCAAATGTAAATATAGAAATATTGTTACACCTATTCGATTCAATATCTGCATTAAAGCCTATTCTTTGGAAAATAGCTAAGTAATCCAAATACTTTTTTAATTGTTAAAATACAGTTTCTTTCTCTCAAAACTTGCACCATAAAATCTACAAACACAATTTTACCTTACAAAAGCTCAAGCTTAACAGCAGTGATATTTCCAGGGCACTGAAGAGCTACAAAAGATGTATTTCCTTAACTTTTATCCCACAAAATGAAACTTCCTATCATAATCAGTTATTAACATCTAATTATCTCCGTCTTTATAGTTCCTTCTTTTTCATTCAAAATCCCTCGTATCAAAGGGTTGCGCTTTTATTAATGCAAGTAAGTCAGTAAAACTTTTGCGCATTTGAATTCACTCCTTTGTATTAGTAGCTCACCTGAGCATAGGTAAGAAAGATTATGTTTTGTTTTTATCAAAAAACTGTTGTTTGTTGGGCCACATCCTCTTCCAAAGAGAGATAATCAGGAAAGATTAGGAAATATTGGAAAAAAATGTTTGGTTAATTTATATGAAATAGTTTATTTGAGAACAAAGTACTGGATTAGAAAAAATCCAAACAAGGTTTCAAACGGAAAGACATACTATATAAAGCAGAAATTCCCATGTTGTGCAAGTTCAATTTTTTCCAACCGAAGTTATTTTCTTCAAATTAATAAAAAATTTATATTAATTGAAAACGTTCTTTTGATTAATAGAAGGGCTATAATATAAGGATCATTCAATTCGTAAAGCAGCCTACCAGTGTTAAATTAAACGTAGATTTCAGTTTTTATTTTTTACTGTTAAGGAGGTACTATTTTAGAACATAAATTATCACCAAAAACTTTGCATGCTTTTTCAAAAAGAGATTGCATAGACATTCACTTTTAGAGTAAGTTTGGTTTCTACACTGAGATGAAGACTGATTTAAAATTCTCTCTATTAAGAATATGACAATGAAGGGTTATTTAAAACTGCGCTTCATAACGAAAAAAAGAACGCCGAAGAAGCAAAATGAAATATGTGGTTTATACCTCTGGAAAGAAAAAGTTTTCTTGCATGTCTAGTAATCTGATGGATCAGTAAATATAAAGAAATTCTAAAGTTGTAACAGTGTAACAGATGGCCGGTGTAACGACGAAAAGTGACCCCCGTAAATGAAATATGTGACCCCGTTTATACCTCTTTTTCGACTGTAGAAAAAAAGTTTTCTTGCCCCCATGAAATTTGACCCCCTACTTTTTTAATATAATACCTTATATCTGTGTCAGTGAATTTTTTCATACTTTCAAATGTAAGTTTTTTTTATGTACTTTAATCTTTTCCAACATATATTTGTTTGCATATCTTAATAGTAGCATCACAATCAATGTATTTATGTGGTTTTTGGAGACCAGGTCTTCCAACAATGTATTGAAATCCCTATGGGTACCAATTGCGCTCTGTTATTAGCAGACCTATTTTTGTATTCATATGAAACAGAATTTGTGCAACATCTTATGCGTGAAAAGAAGAAAACACTCACTGCGCTCAAATCGACTTTTAGATATATCGACGACGTATCGTCAATCAACAATGGTAATTTCCATTCCTACGGCGATACGATATATCCTGGTGAACTTGAGATAAAAGATACCACAGAATCTGACACATCTGTTTCATACTTGGACATTTTACTTGAAACAGAAGTTAATGGTAATCTAAAAACCAAGCTATATGATAAACGTGATGACTTTAATTTTTATTTTTTTTTGCAAATACAGCTTCATCACCTGCATACGGCTCAGTTGATTCGATACGCAAGAGCAAAATGAACAATTTCTAAAACGAGTTAAATCATTGACAAGCAAGTTGATGAAACAAGAATATCAGCAGTCTCGTTAAAAATTTTAATTTCGTAAGTTCCATGGTCGATACAATGACCTTGTCAGCAAATACAATTTTTCATTGAGACAAATGCTGACTGACGTTTTTCATACAAATTGTTAGTCCATTATTTATACACTTAATTGACGACGATTTTTCCAGTTATTTCCTGATCATGATAAGGAGCACACGGCGGGTGTGACCGGTCAGCAAGGGAGGCTTACTCCTCCATGACTGGCACCTGATCCCACCTATAATGTTTTGGATGTCCGTGTTTGCCATGCTGCTATTTTGTTTTGATTTATAAACTTTGATATTGATTACTGATCGTGATCTCCATATCCTTCTCCATTGAGGAGCATAAATTTTGGTTTGTTTTTTTTTTTATCATTCAGTTTTGTTCCGAAAATGGCATGATTTTTTTTCTGATAACCATAAACTTTCAATTTTTTTTTTACAAATCCCAAAACATAGCATTTCAAGTGTTTTTATATTAAATTAATTCCTTTAGCACCTTCAACTAACTTATATATCTGTATGCATTCTGCTTTAAAATACATACTTTTTAACTTCCTTACATAAGGTACTATTCTTTTTCCTGTAAATACGGGAAATACCAAACATGCACATCGGCAACATTCTTATAATGATATTTTTAAAAAACCCTCCAAAACTGGCAAAAATTTCCACCTGAGTGGTTCAACCTTCAGAGATATCTATAAAATGAGTATGAATTCAAAAAAAAATTTGCTTTTCAACACTTTTTATTCCACAGACACCTGACAAATGGTTGCTGTAACGTCCCCTTTCTTCTGAGATTTTATAGACTTTGCAAATACAAATGAACTCTTAGTCTATCATGCCATTACTTCGATATCTAAAGTCCTATCACATAACGACCAAAATAAAAGTTTGAAATTTTTTGTTAAAGTGTGTCAAACTCCAAGGTCAAGGTCAAAAGGTCAAAATTAGTTGTAGACAAAAAAGGACTTGTCACAAAAATACACCTGAAATATGAAAGGCATAGTCCCACCAGGTCTAAAGTTATGGGCAAGGTTCAAGTTTTTGCGGACAAATAAACAAAGAGACAGACGGGTGGACAGGTTAAAAAATATAGTTCCATTTGTTCACGGGGCAAAAGAATAATATGTAAAGTATAAACTTTTTCATAATCCAACATTTGTTTTGCTGGTAAATAACTCCTAAAATCATCACATGTATGGACATGTACATGTAGAACGAGGAAAACGATACTACATGTGCCAATTATGGAAAGACGAGCATTTCTTCTTTTTTTCTTTTTTTTTTAGTTAATCATGTTTATGCTACACACACCCCCCCCTCCCCCCCCCCCCCATTTTGTTAAGATTTTGTTGACACTATCCAACGACAAAAGACATTTTATAGGTTTTGAGCTAACCACTTTTTGTTTCCTTTGTATCATAGGTCAGAAAATTAATTTCGTACTTATTTTTACAAATTAAATCATCCCTATTTTTTATAAGAAGTTTGAAACTCCATTCATAGAAAACCAGATATTTTTATAAGATCTATTTTTCTAAGCTAGCTCCCTTTTTCGCGCCAGTTTTAAAAGTAGGGATCAAAAACATTAAACTTTTTAAACATTGAGTTTTGCAAATTATTTATTCTGGGTTAAATCAAAGAGATTCATAATTAATTAGTTATGAAAACTTTTTAAGCTTTTTTTTCTGACACCAGCTAGAAAATGAGCCTTTAAAGATTAAAATGACAACTGTGGAAACTTACTGTATCAAATGTAATAAACGATTCTATGAATGTGCGCATATCTTTGCCCTGATAGCCTTAGAACACTTTAATACATGTAGATATTGTCTTCCTTCAATGGGGATAAAGCGGTTTGTATCATTAATGTAAGGTATTGTAAAGCTTTGATTTCGTTATTTGAGCTTAAAAGCTTTAAGAAATTAACACTTCAAAGCATAAGGTTGCTTGATATTACCCGTATACATTCGCCTAACAAAAATATACCAACCAAAACGAAAGTTTTTGCATAAAAAATTTTCACCTATTTTTTTCACACGGAGAAAAACGACCCTAAAATTTCTACGAAATATTCATTTTTCTACTGACAAGATCACCTAAATGCAACACTACTTTTAAAAATATTGCTCTTTAATGCTACATGTAATACCTCACCTAATGACATACAAGCTCCAATGTTGATGTTGTATCTTTTTTTAAATAGCCTCTTAAATGTTTTTAATATAATTTCTTATATGGGGGTATAATTTTTATTCATTCCATTCACTGAACCAAAGCATCATAAAAGTAATGAAATCGATATATGGGTCATTTTCAAAAAAAGTTCATTTTTTGAATGACATATATTTGAGGTGGTTTTACTATGATTTTTTCAACTTTATTTGCCAAAAAAGAATAATACAGTAATAAAAATTACTAAAATCCCCTGAAACTTGCAAAAAACACAGAAAATATATATTTCTTTTAAAAAGATATTTACATTTTATCTGTAGTCATTTAAAAAAAAAAACTTTAATGTCCTTCCTGTTACTTTCATAAAAAAAGCTGTAGAACTCTATTTCAAAATTTTCATTAAATAATCTTTTGTATATTGTTACAAAATGAAAAAATTATCATTGAATGCTAAGATGTTTGACATTTATCTAATATATGAGCGTTTAAAAGCATGTCAAACTACCAAATACCAAGCAGAAGCAAAATCTTTGGGTTTCTCTTCATGAAAAACCTTATTGCGGAATGTTTATAAAGTATAGTTGAAAAACACATTTTTGTACTTATTTTTGTGATTAGAATAAACAATTACAGAAAGTTATTTAAACAGGTGCTCTGCCAAAGCAATTTAAACTAGGAAAATATACTGGTAACAGTAAGGACTCGGGTAACAGGAAGGACAAAATAGTAACAGGATGGACAAAGCAGTGTAACAGGATGGACAATGAAATCTACAATTTAAATAAAAATTGACTTTTTCTAACTTTATTGGTTAAGAAAAGGGAAAGAAATGTAGAATAAAAACATGATTTTGTCAAATCTGGCAAATTCGAGACAATGAAAGACATTTATTTCTCGCATAATAACCAGTGTTAGATAGACTTCTCCCGTGTGAGACAGCAGTGGAATGATAGGGAGCTTTGAAAGACACTTAAAACGTCATCGTTACCAGTTTTCATTAATAACAAGCTTTGAATTTGCGCAGTGCAGAGAGGCCCTAAAAGCAAAACAAAAGGATTTAAAAGCACAAGGGCGTGGAAACAAACCCCAAAAGTCCGACTCTTTAACTCATGATGAAATTGAAACACTCTTCAAGACTGAACAACTTGGAAAAAATACACCAACGTCTTTGATAAGCACTCTATGGTTCAATAATACGTTGTATTTTGGCATG